TCCACCGCCTCCTTTAATAGCCAAATCCACATGTGATCATCACAAGACTGGACATAAATTCAAATATTACAGATTGGTCTTATGATAATTACATAACTAATTGTAAATGGCTCATTGTAAAAAATAAATTAAGTTCAAAGGATTGACTGGAATGAGAGGAATTGCTCAAATGGAGGAAATACTAAAAATCACAAGGTAACATTTTCTCAATTTGTCATAAAACAACCACAGATTTTAATGTTTCTTTTGAGACATTGATTGTGACAAATCAACAATAACTAGATAGTTATGAATTGGAGGAAAAATGTTACAATTCCAGCTTTTTTCACAAATGGAAATCTGAAAAGTGCAGCATGCAGATGTATTCACTGTTTATACTCTGTTTTAACCCTAAAAATATTTAATATAGACTATTAATGTACCGTTTTATATTAATATACACACAGTTTGTGTACAAAGACCTCAAGCAAACAGCAAGATGAAAATCAAGAAACACACCAGTCCAGCCAGTTAATCCATCGTAATTTAATCCATCGCCTAAAATTGGAAAGATTGCGGCACAACTCCAAACCTGCCAAGACCCGGCAAAGCACCGGCGGTTTGCCAACAGCGACGGCCAGGAAAGGAGCAAATTAATCAAAGAAGTTTCTAACAGGCCTGATAACTCTGAAGGAGCTGAACAGATACACTGACAAACCGAAACTGTGCAATGATTCGGCTCAACCTGCAGACTGACCACAGAACAAACTTTCCCTGACAGAGTCATGTTGAGCATCCCAGGTTCACTGCTGCCCCGACGGTCAAGGAAGCAGTTATAAATAAATTACACTGGATAATAAAACAATAGAATGAATAGAAAATATTTTAGACATCTTGTTGTTTTTACAAACTGTTCATTCAGTTACTCTGTTCACATGACTATATTGTCCAGCAAGTCAAAGAAAAAGAAATTATGAAGGACACTTGAATAGTGAATAAGAACACACACTGATAATTGTATCGCATGAGAGAATAAGTTCAGTAACTAAGTCAGTTCTGAAATAACAGTCTGAGGCTCAGCAGGCTCATTTGATTCAGGGACAAGAGAGGACAGACATTTCTGACCCGTCTCTTTCTCTCTCGGCTCTGAATGTGAGCGCGCATGTGCTGCTCTGCACTAGCCGCTTATCAATGCGAATTTGTGCATCTGAAATAATGCAGCATGAAGCACACTGACACCATGACCCACTTCTGACTACACACACCAAAGGAAGTGTTGGTGCAGGATTATCAATACAGAATGGGTTATGGGTCATCCACAGTGCAATGCCATCTCAAAATGTGTCTGGAATGATGGCGCTACTAGCAAATCCATAACAAAACAGATTTGAATATAGTTATCGAGGTTCATATTGTTGTTTGTTCTGTGTAAGATATGAAGTAAATATGAGATTTAGGCTTAAAAATGACTAAACATTTGATCAAATGTTTTAATGCAGAAATGCTATGATTTTCACAGTCAGTCACTGACTCTCCAAGAGGAGAGCACTACAAAATGATTCTGACTGGTCAGAGTTCTGCATATTAATGATGTCCAGCCCTCCATGATAAGTGCAGTTTGGAAGTAAAAATCCAATGAGGGATTCAGGAAGGATTCACGTGACCAGGCCTGCAGCTGCTTCAACACTCTGGTGTTTCCAGAGGACCGGGCTTTAACTGGAATCCTTCTGTTCAGCTCCTAGAAGCTGCAACCTTTAGATCTGGTCTTCAACTGAAGCTGTACCCTGTCGTTTTCCATGCAGACATGATAGTGCCAATATATTAGTTCATCTCTTTCCAACAAACAGAAATGGCAATCTGGTAATATCTATTTATTTGTTGATATGACTTTGTTTTTTAATATATACTTTTTTTTCATTTTAAACTTTAAACACATTCTTTCATCTAAGGTCCTACAATAATGTATTAATTTTTCAACATTTCAGTAAAAAAAAAGATGATTATTACAATAACTTAATGCTTTGCAAAAGATCTTAAAAATAGATGTCAGTTATCTATAAATGTCTTAAATTTTACCGTCATCAGCAAGTATTTGATCTAAAACTGTTTTATGATTCCGGTACAGTGTTTTTTTATTATTATTGTGGCTATATTACCAATATTTGTCACTTTATAAATGTACCCATATTTATGGCATGAGTTACAGTTTCCAGTCTGCTGCCAGCCATGCTGCATTTCATAGAAAAACTGTTGAAGTGTCTTTTTTCATTCAATATAAGTGAATAAAAACATATTCAGTGGGGTAGTTTACTGAAATTATTTCCATTTTCAAACTGTTTTCACAAGAAAGTTATAAAACTTCATCATCATGTTTTTAAGATGGACTGAGTATGTCTGTAACTTATGCTGGGCAGCCGTCTCATTATTACCTAACCTAGAGCCAGACAGAAAGATCTCTTCAGCAATCGGATCTCCATGAGGCTGTAACTGCTCAACAAGCTCATCTTTCCAGCTTTCCCTTTTTATTTCAGGCAAACAAACTCTTACAGCACAACTTAGCTTCCTGCTAATCCTGGTTATGCAACACAATCAGCAAATGTCCTGCAAACTAATAGAAACAGCTTCCCTAAAGTAAATGAGCAATTTAAGTTTAATCAGTCTGGGTGTTATGATGTAACATGGTTCAAAGTCTCATCACACTCACTTGATTTTTGAATTACAATTCATCTTGAGCCAAAGAGTTTTGTAATCATTTTTGCTGAAGCCACAATATCATAGCTGTGGACAAGCAAACAGAGCATAAAAATACCAAAGGCTGAAATCAGTTACAATGTCAGAAGAGGTCATAAGGTCATCATTTCTGACTTAACCAACTGAAAGTATTTTTAGTCCATAATGTAAATTCTCCATGAATGATGGTAGATAAATAATGAAGTTGTGGTTAAAATCCTTCGGCTTGTTTGTTTCCAACTTCTTTTATGTACAGAACATTTTTCATGTAAACTTGTTGAAACCACTGATTACATGTGTTATTTCAACCATTGTGCTGTTTTCATCTTTTACAACAATCATGGTACAGCTGGAATAGAAACATGTTTTTAATTGACATCAAATTGACTAGAACATGGAAATGGCAGGAGGAGGAAAACATCCTGATCAAAGGCACCGGCTGGGTTCCCTGACATTTAAAACTCTGTAGGTTCTCAAAACAACTTCTTTCAAGATTTTTTCTAGAAAACACTTGAATGTTCACAGAAAGTCGGTTACTAAGGTTTTAATCGGCTACAGTTTCAAAACATTTTTGAATCGTTGTTCCTGCTGTGTTAATTAACTAAGGAGTTAATTCCTGACTGAAAAACGTGTGATGGTTAAATTGGGAATCTGGCAAATAAATCTTAAAAATAAACAGAAGAGTTTGGAAAAAAATGGTTGGCAGAAGGGAAAATGACTGAAATAAAACAAAACCTACAGACCATCCATTATAAAAAATTAAAAAAAAATCCCTTCTCACCCACCGCAGGTGGTTCTTATCCTCTGAACTCGGGTCCTCTTCCAGAGGTAGTGGGACTGGACCCTTTGATGGATCCTTCTGGATTAGGATTGTCCGCCCTTCAGTTAACCATTCAGGGTGAGTCCCACTTTGTAGCAGCTGGTTCATTTGGGCTGACAGTCGCTCATGGAGAGCAGTGAGTTTCTTTAGCCAGTAGGCATGGATCTGTCCAGTTTTTCATGCCTGAGAGTCTTTCTTGAACATCTGTCACAGTGATGGTTACCGGGGCTTGCTCAGGGAGGTTGCTGTGGTCTCTCGTAGAGAGATCAGCCACTGTGCATTGCTGTTGTGGGACGCCTCCCTTTCCCATATGCCTTTCCAGTATTGTTCAGTCTCCAGCCTTGGTGGGTCTGCTCTGTTGTTATTACCCTGCCATTGAGAGTACACCTTAGCTGGTTGAGTGGAGAAGAGCCGGTTAATCCTTCTGGATTCATTCTCCCTTGTGTATCTCTTTAGGCGGCTGGACAAGGCTTGGAGCCTCTGTTTGGCAGTTTCAAGTGCTTCAGGTAAAGACCTTTACTTTCTGGGTACTGGTCTTTTCATTGCACCCTTGTGGAGCTCTGATAGTTGGCTCACTTCCCTCCTTGATACCTTGATTTTAGCCTCTACCCGTCTTTTCCATGGTGGGTGTATATATATATATATATATATATATATATATATATATATATATATATATATATATATATATGTGTGTGTGTGTGTGTGTGTGTGTGCGTGCGTGCGTGCGTGCGTGCGTGTACTGTTGGTAGGTTTTGATCTGTTGTGTGGCCCTGCCATGGATCAGCCCTGCTGTCAGACTTTCAGAAAGATCTATGGATAAATAACACAATCTGTCCCATATCTGTGATGATCCTGAAACATGGGATCTGCTGCAGCTCGTGATGCTGCTGCAGGCTACAGCTGACGGTGAAGGCCCTGCCAGCATCCTGCCATCGTCTTGCAGCATCACTGCAGCATCCTCTGAAATGATGGCCAGTAATGTGTGCTATTTCACCGCGCAGGAGGAACCACCATGCAGGACTGTTCACATTAAAGCCGATATTTACTGGCATCCGGGCTTATTTGAGGTGCAGGCAGCTGATGATAGCTTCTGCTGCCTGCATTTATAGATATTGTCACTGAAAACATGCGAACACGGAAAGAGCATCGATGCCGTCGTGTGTGGAAAACCCCAGGAGCAAAAGCAGGACGGCTCCCCGCATCCAGCGGGTCTGCCGGCGGAGGCCAGCCTCCAATGTGCCAATAAATCACCGCGACGCAGCTCAATAAAACGCGCCTCTAAGTTCGTGATGCCATGCATGTCGCTGGAAACGACCTAAATATTTTTCTGTCGAGGTACACTCAGATAAAAAGTACCATTTCCGGCGCTAGCAGTGAATCAGTCTGCAGCCAGCAGGCCGCTGGTCCGACTGACTCCCACTTCCGACCGGCGATGATCAAACAAACAACACGCAGGAAACCGACTCACCTCAGAGGGAATCCTCATCAGATGTCAAATCCTAATTCATACGAAACAGCATCCATGCCATCTTCATGTTTCACTGATGTGATTATCTGCAGCGGCCTTCCACGGCGGCGGTGTGTGGATGAGCAGCAGCCGACAATGAAGCGCTGATGGCCGGTGGTGATGATGCTGGAGCCCCGCCCTCCTCCAGAATGAGCTCACTGCTTCTCCAGCTGGTGGATTTAACAAACCCAGTCCTCCTGCAGAGCTTCATCACTCTGGAAACACATTCACACTTTTGGCTCAATAGAAACAAATGAATTCTCTCTATCTGTCTTTTTAAAAACAGAGGATAATCATTCTACTTTATTTCAGCAAATTCAGAAAGTGAAACTCATGTATTTCATATTTTTATCATGAGCGAAATACAAAATTCAGTTTCCCAGAATATTAGAAAATACATTTGACCTTTGCTGCATCCAAAGGTGCAGCAAATGTGTCTCCACAAAACATTTGTTTTGTTTCCACTAAACAAATGGAAAGTTTAGTGGAAGGTAAAAGTGTAGTCAAAAATGATGCCCCTTTCTTAGAAGTGATTTTGAAACAATATTTTTGGAAACACCTTTTTTTTTTAATAAATGTATACTAATGTTGGGTCATGGATCAGCTTATTGTGAAGACCAGAACAGGTGGGCCCCAAATCACCCCACCACTTACAGAACAAACATGACAGTTATCATGCATTGAACGTGAAAACTTATTCAGAACTAATTTGCTTGGATTATTAGAAACAAGCCAAACTGTTAAGAGGAAGAACAGAATAATATTTTTTGTGCAGAAAGCTTTTGAAACTCATTGAAATTTGTATCCTGGATTTAGATTCATTATTAAATAAAATGATGTTGCTTCCAGTCAGAAGAGTCATGTTGGTCATATTAAAATGTTACTTTCAAACTAAATCGGTGAGAGGAATGAATAATTCTTAGACTGCACTTCAGGCAATTTTTAATGAAAATGAATAAAATGAAAGTGGCTTTACTGAACAGACGAAGCATCATTTCACTTCCTCCTCTTGTTGTTTCAGGAATTATTTTAATTAAAGCCAAAATGTCTAATGATCCCTCTTTGCCTCAGGTTAACTGAACAACATATGTTTCTTTTCTTTTTCTCCTTGTGATGAAGCCCAGAGTTAGAGAAGCTCAGGCTGCACTGAACTCTGGGCTCATGATGGCTGAAGCAGCAACACGACTTACTGATCAGTTTTTACTGTTTTCTACTGATACTCCTTAAAATCATCTAAAAGTTATTTACACTTCTGGACAGATTGCTTATTTTCTGCTTTTTGTCACATTTCTTTCTGCTAGATTTTTCCAGGGTTTTTTTTTTTTTTTTAGATTTATGTAAGGCTAATTCTGTCATTCGCTGATTTTTTTTACATATTTGGATTGAATTACAGCTCACAATGAGACAACGAGTGGCTTCTGAGAAAGATGTGTTTACATTGAGTACATTCTTTATCTGAAGAGGTTTTGCAACAAAAAAATTATCTCCATTTGACAAAAGTCTAAGAAAACAGAGTGACATGGCAGAAAGGTTGAAAAAACACAGCCTAAAAATCAGTCACATCTCCATCCTAAATCCAAAATGTTTTTCTTTTTGTTTGTTTGTTTTCTGTTGTAATCTTCTACATCTGGACCTTATTTACTGAGAAATTCCCCTCACCTTTTGGAAGGTGCAGGTGCAAGGTGTGAAAAAAATTCATAACTATTCTCATAGACAACATGTTCTTCATATGCTAAGAAATGTTAGCGCCACCCAAAGGTCAGTATGAGAACTGCGGATCCGATACATGAAGCCAGAATCAGCAGCTTGTTCAATTACTGACCAAGACTCCAAATTCTCTCTGGCTGTTTGATCAAGTTTGTATTTATTTAAAATAATCTATAAAGCTGAAAGCAGAGTTTACTGAAAATACTCTTATTTTCATGTTGCATGTTGCAATTTATTCAAAAACACATTTCACAAGGTTATCTTTGTTGTTTTACTTTCTGGTATTTCACACTATTGAGTTGCAACCCAGAAATGATCAGTTATTTAAAAGATACAAACTTTTTAATACTTTGGGGTTGACTGGCTTTCAGTAATTGAAGGAATATTTTGTGAAACATGTTGAATATATTTCTACAGTGCTTTATCTAATCAAGAGGCCCCTAAGGTGCCATATTCAGACTGAGTGACACTGTGATGGTGTTTAGCTACTTCATTGTAGCTACAGCTGCACACTTGCAGCAGTACTTTGAAGTTTGCATTGAGTGGACAAGCATAAGGGACAGAAATACATTTTACAGAAATTATAAATATTTGACACAAAAATAAATACTTAAGAACTCTTTGTTTGAATCTTTATATCTGTTTTTACACCTGAATTAACTAAAAACATAGTATGTGTGACACTGAGGATGCAATAATGGACTTGTGAGGAAATAGTTTGTTGTTCCATAGTATGAAGGTTTGTGCTTTCACTGCAGTTCAGTTAGCTGTTTTTAGATTTTCCATAACAGAATGGTACAAAAGATAAAATTTATATTGTTTTACCTTTCTCGTCATTAAGTTGGAAAGTGTTTTTTTTTTCTTTTTCATGTTCTTTACATTTCTTCATTCCACATAGGAAAACATACCCACCATTTTTTCTGCTTGGTTTCATGCTATTCTTTATTTAAAAACATAAAAACAGAAATAAAATTGGGCTTTTTTAAAAACAACAAATTTCTCGCAGTAGATATTTACAAAAAAAACCTATGTATGTTGTGTTTCTTTAAAAGGTCGTTTGTGGATCTAAGCATGTTTTATTTAGCTGGACTGAGGGGAAATATGACTATGAAGCTGGAGACTTCTGGACTGAACATAAGCTTGGAAATATTTCTTTTCACACGAGACTTTCTAAGTTGTTTGAGCTGCACTGTCTCCATGATGCCACAGTTGTTTCGATGGAGGTTGCAGGACGCAAAGAGTCGACAAAGAGTTGATATGAAGATGAGGAATATAGGACACACAAAACAACCCAGAACACAACAGACTGAACTGCTTGAGTTGTTGACCAACACAAATAAGACATTTTAAGACTATAATCTCTTCCTTGTTGCTGGGACAGCAGGTCATTACTGTGAACTAGCTCCACATAGTATTTTGATATTTTGACATCTTCTTTTATAATGAGCGAACTAATCTGTGCATGTTTAAAAAACTGATTTGGCTGTGACACCATTGTTCAAGTCACAGTGTGTGATGAATGCATCTACTGATTTATAGTATTGAAGTAAATCACACTTTCAAGAAGTGCAATTATATAAAAATGTGTTTTTGGAATCAAGCTGACCGTTTTGCGGCATGAAGTTCCAAACTAAAATGTTTAAAACTCATCTGGGATCTGCAGTTTCTGCTTTATTCAGCAGTTCATGGCACGACCGGAGGACCCACGATGTCTGCAAGGCTGCTGCTACCGCAACTTCAAAAAGTTGTTTTGTGTTTCAGAAACTATCTGTTCCTTCCAGGATTTTATTGTCTGTTTGTGTCATAGCGTTGGCATCTTTGTGTTGCATCAACTGCAGATGTTACCAAGCAGGCTGATCATCTCAGGTTTAAGACAATCTGTGGACATTGTGTCTTTATACTTTACATTCAACTTTTCAAACTTTCCACTTTAGGGTTAATAAATAATAACAAATGGCTTCCATTTTGAAATAAGACTGATTGAATGATTGTCCTTATTGTTTTGGTTTAAGATCATATGTGGTTCCTGATTGCTAAAATAAATAATACAATCTTTTTGCATTTTTGACACCAAAACTGAAAGATTGAATTTATTCTATAATTAGTACTAGATGGGGAACTAGAAATAAATGCAGGTGCCTTAAGGCTTCATTTTATGCCTATTGGTTGGTTATCTTTACTAATCTAGACTATTGGTTCTGGTTCTGAGGATGCAGAGGTCTGGACGGTTGGTGCAGTGACAAAACGTCTCTAATGTATTTTGCTGCTGAGCCATTCAGTGATTTATGAAGTAACAGAAGTATTTTAAAGTCTGTTCTCTCAGTAGAAGGACTTTAGAACTGTTTTCTATCTTTCCAGTCGTTCTGCTTTCCAGGGCATGACATTCACATCCACCTCATTGACAGGATTCCTGAGGCTTGTCATCACATCTTATTAAAAATGCTGACTTAGTCCTTGGAAACTGTTTATCTTGCTATTTTCAGATTTTCTACTCCAGTTCATCTTTTGGGTCTGTTGAGTCAAATTAGCATTTAGTTCTGGCTTTCATCCTCACATCGATGGACAGACAGAAGACCAGATGACCGAAGCACCAAACCAGAGACGCCTTGAGCTCAGTAGTTCTCTGGACTGAGTTTGGACACAAAGCTCATCATTCAGCTTCCTCCAGAGGACCTGGGTTATTTATGGATGTGACCTATAATTATGACAATACCTTATATCAAATATAATTAGCACCTAAAACAATTCAGATTATCATCATCATTCATTAAGCATTAAGTAGTTAAAAATTTTGTGATGATAAATCAAAGAAACATCACAGATCTGGATAATGCAGCGATGTAATGTAATGATAATGATAATGATTATGATAATGTAGCGATTCCTTACAGCGCCTCAGTAATGGAGACAACATATCCTGGATTTTTTTTTTTTTTTTTTTAATCAACAGGCAACCCCTCCAGTCCAGGAGTTATATGAATTTTCATGCCCTCATGGCAGCAGTAACTTCTTAGGATAGTGGTTATGTCCCATAGGAAACAGTGGATCCTCAAAAAGTAGCATTTGTTGGAAAAATGGGCCAACAAATAGATGCTTAATACTAAAAAACACACAAACACACTTTCAAAGAATAAAGCAGATAATTCTTCAACACACGTTTCACCCCTTAAAGTAACGCCCGCCCCCCCCCCCGCTGCGTCCCCTAATTTAAATAGTTGCAGCCTCCATTAATAGAAGTCCATTCACATCGCTGCATCTCTCTGCCCCCCTCTCATCCTCCCCATCACACCCACACGCAAGTACACCGTGGCATTTATATGCGCCTACTGCTCAGTTCGCTCAGCATTTAGGCCCACGTCTCTTCAGAGGAACTTTTTTACTGACGATGACAACGAACAGGATGAAAAGCAGCGCAGCGCTTTGCGCATCAAACGGACACATTCAGAAGCCTAAAGCCGTGGAGGAGCGGGGCCACTGGGGCACCAAGGCGGAGTTCATCCTCACCGTGATGGGGGCAATTATCGGACCTGGGAATATTTGGAGGTTTCCATACCTGTGCTACAAGAACGGAGGGGGTGAGAGCTTTTACGCACAAGTGGCGCTCCGGCTTTCTGGCTCCTTCTGGCAGTCTCTTTACTGCTGTCATGTTTGGTTCTGTTTTTTATAGGTGTGTTTTTCATCCCATACACCGTGTTCATGTTTACGTGTGGAATACCCTTGTTCTTTCTTGAAACTGCGTTGGGGCAGTTCACCAGCCAGGGGGGGATCACATGCTGGAGGACGATTTGTCCGCTTTTCCAAGGTAAAAGACGCGGAAATGTTTCATGTTTCTTTAAACGTCTCTGAAATGTTACAACTTGGACTGTTAAACGCGTAGCAGATTTAATGGATTCAGAAAGTCTTTACTTTTCAAATAGGTCAGTCTTTGATGAACTTTTAGACTTTCCATAGTAATTACAGTGAATTATCAGCAATTATGCGCTCAACATTAGGCCATCAAATCTCTCATGCAGTGGCGGTTCTTGCTCTGGGCTGTAAGACCCAGTTGCAAGGCTGCAGTGGGAAACTTTATTTTTATGTCTCATGTGTTCATTGTGTTTTTAACAAGCTTAAATTGAAGTTTCTCTGGTGATTACTGCGAGACTTGACCTCCTGATTTCTGCTAAAAAATATCAGATAATCACAATAAAAAACTTCCTTCATTAAACAAATGTTACATATTTTGAAGGCGAATGCTGCTGGTTCTCAGTCAACATTAAAGTATTATTTGATGACTCCAACAGGCAGTTAAAGCCTGGAACTAAAACTGTTCAAATTTTAGAAACTGCTGTAATAAAGTCATATTGGAACATTATGATATTTGACATGATAAAGTAATTTATCTTGCTTAATTATGTTGCATTATTTTCTAAATATTTTACTTGAATGACATTAAAAGGCTGAGAAATCTTTCATCAAACCAGAATCATTTCTTGTCTTTCCCCTCAGGCATCGGTTATGCCAGTCATCTTATCATCGCATTCAGCGCCACTTCATACATCATAATCCTTGCTTGGGCGTTTTTTTACCTGTTCTCCTCCTTCAGCTCAGACTTGCCATGGGCTTCATGTGGAAATTACTGGAACTCAGGTAGTTCCTGTGAAGCTGCATATATGCAAATCAAAGCATGAAATGCTGTAAAACCTATTTTGTATTTAAAAAAATATAAAGCTTCATGTAGTTTTATGTGTAAAATTAGCATTCTGATGTGTTTTTATGTTTTCACATCAGACTCATGTTTTGACAACCATCTGAATCTGAGCCTGGAATCACGACTGAACACTACGCTCCCAGTTGTAGAGTTCTGGCAGTAAGCATGAGATCACAGCATATTTTATATTTCACTCAGTTCTATTCTCTGGTTTATCTCCTTATTCTTTAATCCCCATTTCCCATTGTCCTGTTTCCTCCTACCGTCTTTTATCTTTTATTTTATATGTAAGCTCTTTTTGTCCTTGAACTTTTTCATAGTTTGTTACAACTATGAGCTTCAAAGTCTGTTGTTGGGGATTAAAGGGGGTTTTTACATAAAATCAACTTTTCTGAGCTGAGCCACATATATCACGTTATAATGTTGTTTTAAAACGGTTATGTTGAATTTTAAAGCCTAATTCAGATTAAATATGCAGATTAAAAGTCAATGACTTGCTAACCTCCGTTTCTAATGACAACAGGTACAAAGTTGTGTATCTATTCAAGCTCATTGGATTGTAACACTAACTTTGCAGCAATCCCACCTACTGATCAATCATATTGATCAACATTTGTCCTAATCTTTCATTGTCAAACATCCGCCACGCCTCTGACCAGACATCGAGTTCTGAAGATCTCTGGTGGGATCGAGGAGGTGGGCGGAGTTAGGTGGGAACTGGCGCTGTGTCTCATCCTGAGCTGGATCATCTGCTACTTCTGTGTCTGGAAAGGAATCAAGTCAACAGGAAAGGTCTGACACTTCAGAGATCAACATTATCTATTACACATCAGTGTGAGTGAATGTGTGTGTTTAATGTTAATTTCTTTGATGTATATTGTTCAGCAGTTCCTGTTTGACATTTGACTTAATAATTTTTGTTTTCCGTGATCTGTGAATTATATGAAACATCTTTTCTTTTGCCACACAGGCAGCGTACTTCACAGCCACCTTCCCTTATGTCATGCTGTTTATTCTGCTGATACGAGGCGTGACCCTCCCTGGAGCTCTGGATGGGATCATTTATTATCTCTACCCTGATATCTCTCGCCTCTCAGATCCCCAGGTAGAAAAATATACGTAATGCTTATGTCACACTTATTGAGAGCGATGCTCAAATCAGGCACAGATTAATGTTTGTGCACTTTCTTCAGGTCTGGATGGACGCTGGTACTCAGATCTTCTTCTCCTATGCAATCGGCCTTGGATTCCTCACTTCTCTTGGGAGTTATAACTCCTTCAACAATAACTGTTACAGGTAAGTTCAATAAGTGTGTCTTAAAACTGTATTCAACTCTTCTGAACATTCAAACATTAACATGAACCACAAATGTGGGATTTCATAAACTCACACACAACAGTGTGTGATTGGGAACCTGAATGAAAATGAAATACACGAAGCTTCAGTGAACAAGCAGCAGCAGCATCAAGAAGAACATAATTCCCCAGTCATATCAGAGGTAATGTTTGGTAGAAGTTAAAAGCAATGTGCCAATATTTGAAGATTATATAAAGTCCAGTTTGATCCATCATGCAGTAAAATAAAAATGTAGATTCTGACATAATTGCAAAAGTACCAAGACATTTCTGTCCAGTTAATCTGACCAGCTAAGCTTTGATCAGAAGAGCAGCCATGATGAAAGAGTACTGAGCTCAGGTGGGGGAATAGACACAACTATTACCCATGTGCTCCATGAATTTCATCTTTTATGAAGGAGATGATAGAAGGAAGCTTCAGTTAGAAGGAAAGTTATGAAAATTTTGACACAAGTTCAAAAACATTAATACATGAACCAAAATGTTAACTTTTTGCCCTGCATGAAAATACTCTGAAGCAGAGAATTATCACTGGTCCCCTGAACACACCATCGTCATGGTTATTTGAAGATCATTAATTAAATTTGACAGTAGAGTCTGACAGTGAGGGCCAATTTATAGAATTAGAAAGTCAGAAAAAATGTCTGCTTTTCAGGTTGATTTGCAAAAAATGCTTCGGTATCACTTTTGACTGACTTTGACAAGAAGCAATTAGTGATGTGGACTGCAGGGTCATTGCATCCCTACGGCTGGGGCAACTTTGGAATGTTACCTGGCTGCAAATGTCTGGACGTGTCCAGATCTGGTCAAAAGTAGCAAAACTAGTGAACAATGGCTGCTTGGCCTTTATTGTTAGTATGTTAGTGTTGTTCAAACTGTGTGGCTTAACTTTTACATTAAACTCACAGACCGACTAGTTTACAAAGCAAAACAGAAATGAACAATGTAAACAACAACAGGTTATGGGTTTGTGTACAGAATTTGGTTTTATTGTGTTACTGTTGGTGCTTTGTTAGCTACATATTTTACATAAAAGCTTTAATGTACATCTTTTTTCCCATACAGGGACTGTTTCTACTTGTGTCTGCTGAACAGCGCCACCAGCGTTGTGGCTGGCTTTGCCATCTTCTCCGTTTTGGGCTTCATGACGTATGAACAAGGCGTGGACATTTCTGAAGTAGCAACATCAGGTTCTTACTTTGATCGATAGTAAAAAAAAATTTTCCACACACAGCTGTTGAGTAAATGTAGCATACAAATAGCATCATCCTAATTTTGAGAAATTATTTTGTTTCGATGGATGGAATCACAGATGCAGTTTGTTTAAATCACCATGTTTAAATAACTGAAGATGCTTATTTTTAAATGCTTTGTTTAAATTGTTTTGAAAAGATTCCAGTTCTGTGATCCATTTTCTTCACCCATTTTGTATATTCTAATTTTATTTGTTTGTAAAATGAATATATTTTAGGCCCTGGGTTGGCATTCATTGTGTTTCCGCGCGCTGTGGCCATGATGCCCATGCCTCAGGTGTGGTCCGTGTGTTTCTTCCTCATGATCATTCTGCTTGGACTAGACAGCCAGGTAATAAGACTCAAGTCATATAAATAAATGAATGAATAAATAGATAATAAATGTTTTGTTTCCCCTAACCATTTCATTCCAGTTTGTTGGTATAGAGTGTGTGATGACGTCTCTGGTCGATCATTTCCCTTCTTACCTGCATCAAGGCTACAGGCGGGAGCTGCTTCTGCTTCTTTTGTCCTGCATCTTCTGCATGTTTGGAATCTCACTTGTCACTGAGGTTTGGACAAATTAAGGGCAGAATATCAAGCATTAAATGTTTTACATTTTTATTTTGACTTTGTACATTTACATGTTTGTGTTAGTTAAAATGTTATTTTTAACCAAAAGACATGACATTTCATCTGAAGGGTGGGATTTACCTGCTGCAGCTGTTGGACCATCATGTCTGCAGCGGCTCTACTCTGCTGATCCTCTCGTTCTGCCAGTCTGTCAGCATTGGTTGGGTCTATGGTGAGTCACTGACACTTGCATCTAATTTACTGTCCTAGATTTTGGCAAGCGCAAAATAGCTACGTATTAAATTTTGGCAAATACAAACCCACAATTATGCAAAGAACATTTTTATTGTTGTTATGATTATTATTATTATCATATAAATCACTGCCTTTCACCAACAGGTTCAGACCGTTTCAACGATAACATCAAAGAGATGATTGGCTATCATCCATTTTCATTCATGAAGTACTGTTGGCAGTACATAACTCCTCTGGTTTGCTTTGTGAGTAAAACAAATCATTGACATCATGTCTGATATTGTGTATGTTCATTAACATTAAGATGCCAACAGGTGTTCAAGGAATCAAGAGGCTGTTATGTTGCCTCGTCAATATTTTTCAATTCATCAATCAATCAAGTTTATTTGTAATGAATATTTCATCAACAAGGCAGTTCAAAGTGCTTTATGTCATGAGAACATAAAAACACTATAAACGCATCATATTGTCAACAATGTCAAAAATTATTTGGTCATTAAAATCATCAATTTACATGTATGTTGAACAATGTTCCATTTATTATGGTTCAACATGTTCCACATTATTATGCAAGCAATATTTTCTCAGATTTTCTTAAATGGTCATTGCAAATGATGGACAGTATAATTTTCAAGTCATGAACTATTACAGTATAAATCAGATTTTACTGATCAACGCTCCCCATGAGAACAGTATTTATTAAAAAATAAAAACTGAAAATAATTATGCACAGCAGATTTTCTAAACGTTTTATGGGTTATAAAAAACTGCAAAAGGTCATTCTTTTAATGTGCAGCATTGAGTGGTCACATGTACTGAAATGAAAAGCTATTTCAATCAAAAACATCTTAATAGATAGAGTTACATGTTAACATTGGACCTTCTTTGATTTCACCTGTACAATTCTTGCATCCATTGAACTTGTGAGTTTCTGGATAGTTTCTGCTTGAATTTCTTTGCAGGATGTCAGAATACAATTTTAAGGGCATTTCAACAGCTGCTCTTAAACTCATGAATTTGTCTAACAGAAACCTTCCTCACTCAGTCTTTATCTGTAACCATCTTTGTTCTGAATCAGCCACAAATTTCTTCACGGTACAATAATAACGCTTCAGTTTTCATTAAATATCTAATGTTTTCATCCTTCACATATGGCACTACACTAGTTGATGATTTTTGTCAGCAGGGATCTTTTCTTTTTCCCATATTGTTGAAACCTGTGGCCTGCTTAATGATGTGGAACATCCTTCTTAAGTAGATTTCCTTTGAGCTCACTAGACAAACCAGCTCTCTGAAATTAATTATAGTGATTAAAAGAGCCCTGACACACGATATCATCTATAAATTTAATAGCACAAGAAATGTGCTATTAAATCCAATTTGCATAATAATTTGGAACACGGTGTAACCATGTAGGGTTTTAATGCTGTTCATAGAATAAATGTCACTAAAGCATCAATACTTTATGTTTTAAGATAATCTGAGTATCTGGAAACATTTCATTCATAATCCATGACCTCCAGGGAATAAATGTGTTTGCCTGGAATATTAATGTGTCTATGTTCAAAATGGAAAAAGTAACAGAGCACCGATCCTGTTAAAAGACTAAATCAAATTACAAACCCACACAGAACTCCTTCATCATTCAGTTTGATGTTTTCATAAATCTCATCTGTCTTGTCTCTTCACAGGGAACCTTCATCTTCTCGATTATCAAATATACCCCACTGAAGTTCAGTAACTCCTACATTTATCCGCTATGGGCAAATGTCCTGGGATGGTTTTTTGCCACAGTTTCTCTTTCGCTCATCCCGCTGTTTGTGCTTTTCAAATTAATCAAAGGCCAAGGCACACTCCGACAGGTGAGCATCATTTCAGCAAAAGCATAACAGACGCAACCAAGCAACACGCAAGCAGGATTTAACAAGAGACACACATATATATAAAATAAACTATGCTTCACTTGTTCATACACACCCCTAAAAGGCTATGAAGAAAAAACTTCATGTTGCTTTCCACGTTTCTTTCCTCAGCGTTTCCTATTGCTCTGCAAGCCCGTCGCTACCTTGGACCAAACACGCAGCACTTCCACACCGAAACGTGACGCCAGCGCTCCGTACACAGAGCTCAAACCTCTGACCCAGACGGCCGGACTCACTCAGTTAGAACCAACAAACTGCTCACCCGAGAGGCTGGCCATCTACTAGCAGAGATCCAGGTCTGAGTCACTGAGCAACAAAATCCTTCAAACCACAATCTACCTTCAACCACACCTCAAGGAAATTTTATATTGATATTTTCTGAGAAAGTGTATTTTAAGTATATATTTTCATACCTATATTTGTATATATATTCATGTTATCATCATTGGAGCTACCGGGTTTGCTGTGGTTGAACAAGAACAAAGATGTAAACAAAGCAAATTATAGGGGACATTAGGTGTAAATATCCAGCAAAATATGGATTATAGATTTTGCCGTTTTAAGTATGATTATGCATGTCAGCTTTGAACACTGAATATTTATGTAAAGCACTGTGCAGAAGATGTTTTCTTTTTTTCCTAGAATCGTTCATGCTGAAGCATTATTATTACATTCCGCAGCAGCAAGTCTCAAGACTATCCAACCAATTGTTAGAATGCATCAACGCCCTAACGCGTTCACACTTTGATCTGTGTCAGTCAGACACCAAATTAATAAAATATCTCTTTCATCTGCCTCACACTGGACCCATCTTGCCTCAGAGCAGAATACTACAGAAGCTCGGTCACATCTCCGATCCAGTGGACCACATCGAGTCACGAAGGCTCAGTCAGATACCACATTACAGGTTTACATGAGCCCCAACATGTTCAAGGCCTATTAGCAAGGGTGTGAAGAAATTATATTGAGGTTGGAAGTAAAACTGACAAATATAAATGAGATGAAGCTAGCAGGTGTTTGTCATTTACTCACATGCCTTTGTTGGAGATGCCCAGGAGGCCAGCAAAACATTTCACACGAGTCATGCACATTACAACATCACTTAAACATTTAAACATGCTGTAAAGACTAATCAGACTGAATCTGTTCAAACTTAATTGCTTTGTAAATGGGTGTGTGGTTTAATATAACTTTCTAATAAGGGTTTTTTTGTTCATAATCTTGAGAGGTTTTTTTCTGGTATCTGTGTTGCCCTGAGCAACTTTTGTCACTTTGTATTGGTTGTTCATTCTAACTTTGGATCAAATGGTTTCAGATGAACTCTTTGTTTTTGCAAAGCTACAATAAAACATGTATTCAAACCAGTATGAATATTGTAATAAACAAAAATGGGATTCAGTTCAGCTCATTATTTATTATCACCAGATGCATTTCAAGTAGGTGAAAATTCAAGATTCAACTCTGACCAGTGATGGCAATGGAAAAGGAACATAATGAAATAGGAAAAGATAATATATCTATTTACATAATAATATATAATAATGTTTAATAATAATAATAACAGTAAAAATAATAATTGATTACACTCAATAAAGGAAATCAATTGCAAGGAAATCTAATACAACACATTGTTTATTGACCTTTTGATTGACAACTTGGGGAGAGAGAATATAAAAATGTCATAATTTAAGAACACTATAAATAAAAATAATGCACATTATTTGTAGACAGTGCTTTGCTGCAAGTTTTGAAGAAGAAACAATATAATTCTGTTCCAAATTACAGTGAGAATAAACAAAAAGCTGTTACTCACACTACACCATAATGCATCAGACAGTGTGGAATAGTTAGTAAAAAATAAAGATTGCACATCTATTGTACAAACAAATCACATCAATAAGACTTTGGTTCCTCTGCAGCTTTAATGCTACTTAATTCGAACAAGTGGTGAATATTTTTCACCATAGAGCTTAAATTGCACTTATAGTGCTTTAAAGAAACCTTGGACTCCTGTCTGAGATGGAAGACAAAACTAATTTAAAAAAGATGTGAAATAAAAATGTTGACCACAATATTCATTAGGGTTTGAATTGTTGTCTTTTAATTGTCTGATCAAATGAACCAGGGAGCTGAAAATAATGACTGAGACACTGAACTCCCCCTCTGCAGATGGATGTCGGTTCCTCTGCAAACCACTTTTTAGTCAGACAGACATTTGAAAGGTTTTGCACAATGTGTCTGTGTTGCAACATTTAGTCCAAAACAGGCTCTAAGGAGAGTAAGCAGACATGGAGGGAGCTTCAGTCCACTTCCGTCAGGCCGCATGGTCTCCTGAACTCTTGTCCACGCTCATGTATCCACTTGTTCGACACTATTCACACATACAAAAAACAAAAGTGGTTTAAAGGGTATCTTCTGTGATCAGGAGAAAATGTTTGAAAAAACAGTCATCCTCTGAATGGTTCTGATTTGTACAGAAAAAAAAATAAAACACTTCTTAACACAGAAGCCTTTACACAGTGAGGAAATGTCACACCCTGTCCCTGCTGTGAAGGGCTCACAGCAGGAGACCAACTTAAAAAAGACCTCTGACCTCTTGCCAATAATTGTTTTGCAACCAAGTATTAAACCACATTTTGTTGAGTAACAGAAAGCTTTATTTTAGGTTTTTGTTGATATCTCTCTCTTTCAAGTTCATCAGGTGACACAACAGCTCTACTGTCAACTTTCAAATATTCTTAGAAATTTGTGCTTAAATAACCACTTCAGCATCTGACTTAAAATGACAAATGCCTCTAAGACATATCAACAGTAATTACTCATGGCCAAATTGTACATCAGAGAAAAATATAAAAATGTATTGGACTGAAAACAGCTTTTTGAGTGAGCAAGTGGGAACTGTCAAAGTGGATAATGTAAATTCTCTTCAAGGGTTGGGATTAGAGTAAGTGGTGTGTAAACATTAACATCTAAAGATACAGGACCTGAGGGGCAGGAGTGGAGTCAGGTGTGGAGGTTATGTAGAACTAGTGTAACTCTGTTGCACTGTCATTTCAACAATATACATAACATACAGTAAAACAAAATGATCATTTTCAGACCCATATTGCTACAGACCGAGGTTTGACAACATAAACTAAGAAACTAAACTGGGTTGTCTAATTTTCTTAATTTTATGAAGAAGCCTCTTTTTCAGAGCAGTTCCCTCAAACAGAATCAGCCTTTTTAAAATCACCAGCTCTGATGCTGCAACCCAACAGATGATGACAAATGCAATCTGACATGCAACTGATAAGAAAATCATCCTATGATGTTTTCTCCACAGCAAAGCTGGAACTGATGGTGGACATGCAGAAACTTTCAATATGTAGGTGAAATAAAATCCTTGTTTTGGACTGCAATGCAGCAGCATTATGGAAGAGTTGTGTAATATATTTGCGAGGTTCCAGTCAAGCTGGAGCTGGATTGTTTTGCTATGACAGGAATATACTGTGTGGTCGTTATGGGAATGTCTTGTAGAGTATAGAGCATCTCGGATGCCAGGAAATTAGCAGTGAAAATCAATTTTAGACAACCAATACTGTAGCAGCATCAGTGACTCCTTCCACAATTAAAGAGCTTTTCTCAAATTAGTCACGATCCAGTCATGTTTGAATGAGTTGCAGAGACCTTTGAATTTTTGAACGGTCCTAATCAGTTGTGGAGTCAGCTTAATGTGTGTCAAAGACATTTTAACACGTCCTCAGGAAACCAACTCACAACTGTTAAATGAAGAGATCTGAACAGACTGTGTTTTAGTAGGAAAGAGCACAAACTAGTGATGCACCAAACTTTAATCAGGCAATCTTTTAATTATTGGCAGTAACCAGTGATCTGCTGTGAGATCACTAAAAAGATTCTTTCCCCTGTTTACTATTCATTTCAGTTCAGTCATTTCTCATTTTCTCACAAATCTAAATTGACCGTCTTACCCCATTTACTTCCTACAAGAACTGGACAGGCTGCATGTCTGGTCCTGTAGTCTCCTTCTCCACTTCTGAAGAGATTATACCAGAACACTGCTGTTCCCTGTAGATACATTTGTTTCAGTTTATTTATTCAGTTCAGTATTTATAAAGCTTATCTTCCGAAAACAAAGTAAAATCATGAGACATTTCAATTGATACTTGTGATAAAATAGTCAAGTTCAGTTTTTATTCAACAAAGAAAAAAATAAAATGTTTTGTTAATAGAAGAGATTAGAACAAGTTTCATCATCAGAATAATTTGGTAATTACTTAAATATACTTCTATGGTCAGAGTCTTATGAAGATTTTTTGTAAACTTTGGAAAGAAGAAAAAAAAATCTTACATTCATTAAAACAACAACAAACACTACATATTTCAAGTTTTTATCACCTTTCTTGGCCAGATTGCAGCCCCAAAGTCAGGGAAGACTGTCGCTCCTCCGGCCTCAACGTCGCTCATCTGAACCAACAACACATTTACAAATGGCAACTTCTTAGAAAAGGTCAGGTTGAAAAAGATTTAAACCTCGTCTGCTTTAGCTGAGATAGAACGTTTGTAATAAGTGGTGTTTTCTGTTTTCTAAATGTTTGTTTGCAGTGTTACAGCAGGGTTACTGGTATACTAAGGAAATGTAATCACTTCAACCGAGAGCGGAGTTGACATTTATGGCAAATGAGGACAGGAAGGATTTCTGCTCATATTGAACTGTAACTTATAAATATTTGTCCCTCTTCCAGGAAACTTGAGGTCCATCACAGAACAATTTCATCTGAAGTTTTTACAAACAAATCGGATCATTTCACTCTCTGAGAGATAATCTTTACAAAGCAACACAAATTGCTCCAAATCCCTGGCACTGTGGATATGAGTTGCTCTAAAAGGAGATTTTGAAAACTGCTACGTTATTTTTCAAAACATTTAACTCACATACAATTTAAAAATCTGTAGTTTGGGCTTGTTGCCATTAGAGTGTAACATAAGGTTTTGGCTCTTCCAGACCAAAAACTTCATGTTATAATCTTGCTGTGAAGTTATACTTCATGGAAGATACACATATTTAACGTAGTACAGCAGGCCTGGAAGTGAAACCTCCCTGAGTGCCAAACACAGTTTTCTTGTTTGGCACTTGTCATCAAATGGTATGATTTAGATTTTAAATTTGTTTTCATTCAAGCCTCTTCATGCGTGAAGGAACTCCTGACTCAGTCTGCAGCAGCTCTTTGCACAACAGCAGTTCAGTCACTTATTGATTGGCTGTTTGTGTTTTACTTTATGATTTTGGTTGCAAAAGGTACAGAGAGCCTTTTCTGCATTCAACATCTCTTTACAACAAGATTGCCCTCTTGTTGCGTCACTCTATTAATCCTAAATATTAAGTTTAGATATAAACTTTGTTTTCACAGAGGCAACGACAGAAAAGCTATACTCAGAGGAACAAAGTGGCAGATTTGTTTTACCCTTATGTGACCTACGTCTAATCTTTCAGTCAGTTCAATCAGTCTTAACAATAAATCAGATCTTCTAAATGTGACCCAGGCATTATTTAAATTAGCAGGTACAGCGATCAGTGGGCTTCTCTGCTACGGTGTGTTTGTTGGAGTAATAACTATTTTTTCCTAAAAAATAGTTAGCTTGTATAGAGGCCATGATGTAATGTTTCAGTTTTTCTTTTTCACTCACAAAGTTTTCTACTGTCCACTGACAGAATTTGAAGGCATCAGACCAACCCATGCGTCTTAATTTCTCATAGTTTCTTAATTTCAGTGGGGTGGAAAAAGTGTTCAGCCCTTCCCTTTCTTTTTTTAGCAGGTCTGTGATACTTCAGTGTCTTCGAACATGAAACCAATTCAAATACTAGTCAATCCCAAAATACAGTTTTTTAATGTTTATTATTAAGGGAGAAGAAAATCCAAATCTAAATGGCCCTATGTGAAAGCATGAGTCCTCCCCAAGTCTTACAACTGGTTGGGCAACTCATGGCAGCAACAATATGCAATAATTTTCTGAGTCTTTTACAGCAGTGGAAGAATTTAGCCAACTCATTTTTGCAGAACTGCTGTAATTCATTCACATTGGAGGCTTTTCCAGCAGTTTACGGTCTTGACACATCGATGTTTTTCACTAATATTTATATAGTTTGATGTTCTGACACACTAAGTGTGACAAACATGTAAAAAAGGGAAATCAGGACAAAGGCAAACACTTTTTCATACCACTGTATTAAATACAAACACACCATAATAGTGTTCATCACATGTTGGATTTTGGTGTTTTATGGAAGCGGACCTCTCATTTCTGTCTTTTCTTAATCTTGAACATTCCTAATATTTTTTTGACTCCAGTAAAAACAGGTTTCTACTCTGAGATTCACTGTGCTTTCTGCTGCGTAAACATGAAGGGAGAATAGCTTGTCTAAATACAACCTGAATCATCAAACTCAGATTCTTCTTGCCAAAGAAAAAAAGAAAAGAAAAACTAAGGTTTTGACAATGC